TTATAGACTATCCCAAAGGAGATAACTTCTGTAATTTGTTTCTGAGCAAAGATGAAAGTCTAGTCCTCTTTAAATGCATCTTCCTTATTCATAAGCAGCGAGAAAATCATGTGTGCCTTTTGCTAGACAGTTAACGGATGACCGTGTTTCCTTGTTCTTTTGTCACCATTATCTATGCCAATTGAGATATTAGCCAAGCTGTCTTTTTAATCATTGCATAATCATCAGAAGATGCTATGATTCTTTATATGACCCTTGTTGTAAATAAAACAACAAATAACTAGTTTTAAGGTTAGTTTGAGATCCATTAGTCTAATGGTTAAAGCACCAGGCTAAAAACCAGGAGGCTTAAGTTTTATTCCTGCTTTAGGCATGAAAGCCAGCTGGGTGACCTTCAGCCAATCCCTCTCTCTCAGCCCAACTCACCTCACTGGCTGGTTGTTGTGGGAAAAATAGGAAGAAGGAGTATTATGTATGTTCATTGCCTTGAGTTACTTATAAAGTAAGTAATAAAAGCAGAATTAAAAAAATCTAATATAATTTTGCTGTTGATTTTGCTAAATATCTACTCTATTGCTCACCTCTGTATAACAAATACTTTATTGATATTATGAATGTTGCTAGAAAATATTTTAATTGCCATCCTAGAACCCTGTCTAGATTTAAAATGTGATATTGTCTGGAGGATGGATACCTCCCTGCTCTGAAGTCTAATAAAATTAGCAGGACCTATCTTCCTTACATATTAGTAACAGTCCAGTGTTCTTCACACACCAATAGGTATTACAACATGATATTTAAGATAGATCCTGCTTTGAAACGCAGAGGAAGATTATTTCATTCAACCACATTCAACATTAATATACCATAGTTATTTACTATAGATGAGTCTTACATAGTAGTATTACTTACTGAAGTAGCCAGACATGGTACGTGTGGATTCAAAATTTAGGATAGCCTTTATAAACTACTACAGATAATCCCTGAGTTACGAGTGTTCACTTAACGTTCGTTCAAAGTTACGTGATGAGCACCCCCTAGTGCTTACGAGCAAGTCCCAAAGTTATGAATATTGCAGAACCATGGCAGTCGTTCATCCTTACGAGCGACCACAGTGGTTCTGCAACATTCACCCTGGTTATGCCCTCCTTCCCCACTCCCACCGTGGGTCTCCCTAGGCACCAGACCTTCAATACTCACCCTGCGAAAATCGAGATCCTTCACTTTCTTGGCTGTTCCAGGCCTTCGGTGCGTTCACAGAGAATGGAGGCCAAAAGTAACGCAAGATCATGCAAGATCAGTGGGGCGAGATCTCACACTACTGATCTCGCGTGATCTCATGGTACTTTAGGCCTCTATTCTCTGCAACAGAGAACGGAACCGAAGCTGGGGGATACTTCCACGTGTCTCCGGAGGCTGGTTCGGGGCTTCGGAGGTCTTTTCCAGGCCGCTGCAGCCTGGATCTAAAGCCAGGGAATGCTTCCGCGCACCCCGCGTGGCCCGATCAGGGCTCTGGAGGCCTTTTCCAGAGATGGAAGATTCATAGTTTTAGATTTTAATTCTATACAATTGATGTTTCTGGAAATGGATTGTTATGACATACTGTATTAAATGATGATGACATACCACATGTAAAACTGATACCATGGCAACTTTAAAAGTCTACACATTGGGCAGTATCTGAAAGCTCTGAAGAACCTCCACAAAGGCAGCCAGAGAAAAATTGTGTTTTTATGTGAAAGCTTGCTGTGCTTTCAATGAGTGAAGTAAATGACACGCTGATAGGATATAATGTTTCTGTGTATCCTGCTGGTATTATAGCAACCTTTATTATTATTGCAACTCTTTAATTTTTAGCAGACTGACTCCTTTCTCGGTTTGATTCTTTCTCATATCAGACTATCATACTGGCTGGCATAAAATGTCATTGTAAATTATTTACTAGATAAATTAGGATAAATACTTTTGCTTTATTGTTTGATTCACTATATAGCCAAAATAAGTTTAGCTGGAAAAAATGTGTATGTGATTTTTAAGCATAGAACTCTAATGTTAACAGCCAAGGTCTGTTTTATATACTTGGATCACCTATAGTACGGTGTGGAGTCCAGAGTACTTTAATAAAGAGTCTATACTGTAGAACAGACATGTCAAACTTGCGATGTCACGTGATGTTGCGAGATGTATCGGGACTATTTTGCCATTGCCGGCAATGGGATGGATGCAGCTCTGGTATGATGAAACCGGCCCGCGGGCCAGCAGTTTGACACCCCTGCTGTAGAATATAGATTTCTTTGTTGTGTACTCAATTATTAACCCCGACTAGTGAAGGTAGAGTGTAGGAATATGGAATTTAATTTGCTATTCATATAATTTTTGCTGTGAAACATTTTTCTCTATTACTGCTGATGAAATTTACTATTTTGTTTCTATTTTCTCCCAGGTTTCCTTTTGCTTAACTTCTTTTTAATTCTTAATTCTTCTTAATTACTGCAATTGAATAGTACAGCTCTTGAAATGCAAGTTTTGATTCTTTATATCTCTTGATTGTAGTGTCACAGAATTTGAGCGGGTTTTTTTTGTGTATTTAGAATAATTATATTGCCTTTCTGCTCTAGAAAGCTGATGCATTTTGCATTTGTCTTAAAGTTTCAGAATGGCATGCTGCTATCATGAAGTAGATAGCTGTTGGGTACAAATAATTCAGCACTTTGCAAATGGAAGTACAGTACAAGTCATTTAAATGGTTTAGGAAAATTGGGTATGGTATGCTAATATTGTTAATTGATAGGTTGAAGAAGATATGCTGTTTTCTTCAGAGTTATAGTTGAAAAGTTAATCCAAAATACAGACAACAAAACCATGCAGTAATGTAAAAGAAAAATAGCCCCACATTACTGGATTCTTCTCATTTTTATCATTGTTCCTACATTTTATCTTTTTATACACATACACACAGTAATCCTAATATATATATGTTATATATATATATATATAGTTTAATTTTATTCAGATTATCAAAATACAAGTGAAAATAAAGAATAAGGAAGGGGGAGGGAAAAACGGGAAGCAAAACTGTGAGGTAAAGGGGGAAAAAAGCGTTAACCTCCGTCTCTTTTCAATGCAGTAGAATAAAGTTAACATTACAGACTCAACTTTTTACTTTTGCATACAGGTAGCTCTTAACTTAGAATCATTCGTTTAGTGACCATTTGAAGTTACAGTGGCACTGAAAAAATGTCTTATGGCCGTTTTTCACACTTATGACCATTGCAACATCCCCATGGTCACATGATCAAAATTCTATGCTTGGCAACTGGCTCATATTTATAATGATTGCAGTGCCTCAGAGTCATGTGATTACCTTTTGCAACCTCCTGACAAGCAAAGTCAATGGGAAAGCTAGATTCACTTAACAACCGTATTAGTAACTTACCTGTAGTGATTTGCTTAACAATTGTGGTAAGAAAAGTCATAAAATGGGGCAAAACTCACTTAACAATTGTCTTGCTCAACAAATTTTGGGTTCAATTGTGGCCATAAGATGAGGACAAACTGTACTTAGTATATACTAGCAATTTTTACAACAATAACAAACTTATTAGTAAATCCCAAAGTGTAACAACAAACTTATCTAATCAACAAATCCCAAAGTCAGAATTTCATTTTTTCTGTCTTGAGCACAAAATCTAGAAAAATTATTCCTTTATTATATCTAAGTGCAATTCAACCAGCAATAAGATATTGCAAGAACAAACACTGAAAATGTGATCACTGTATTTCTTGAGGTTCGGACAAAGGCATAGTCACGCCAGGAACCCTGCATGAATGACCGCAGTGTTCATGTATGTTGCAGTTAATTCCTGTAAGTGCAGATCATGAACAAAATGGATTTTTCACTGATCCTTGCAGGAAGTTTTTAGCATTATGAAACTTGTCTATCTTGCTCAATTCACTAAGTTCTTGCTAACCTTAAATTTTTCATTTGGGATTCAAAGAGCCATATAAATCTAGGCATGGCCTGCCAAAACAAATGATAAGATGAGCATTATTGTACTATGGTTTGAATGGAGTAGTATTTTTATTTAGATAATTAATTGGGTATTAGTGTTAACATTCTTATTTAACTCAGAATTTAGCTCTGGAAAATATTATTATTAATCAATAGTTAGCAGGGATACAATTAAGGATAAATTACAGTATAATAGTTAAAGACAGGAATAGGATTTATACAGGTAGTTCTTGACTTATGACCACAATTGAGCCCAAAATTTCTGTTGCTAAGTGAGACATTTAAGTGAATTTTGCCCCATTTTACGACCTTTCTTGCCACAGTTGCTAAGTGAATCACTGCATATGTTACGCTAATAACACAGATGTAAGGTGAATCTGGCTTCCCCCTTGACTTTGCTTGTCAGGAGGTTACAAAAGGTGATCACATGACCCCAGGACACTGCAACTATCATAAATATGAGCTAGTTGCTAAGTATCCAAATTTTGATCACGTGACAATGGGGATGCTGCAATAGTCGTAAGTGTGAAAAACAGTCATAAGTCACTTTTATTAGTGCTGTTGTAACTTCAAATGGTCACTAGTGAACTGTTGTAAGTTGAGGACTACCTTTAGTCTGTTAAATGAGTTATCTTAATAAACTGAATCCATTACGATCTTTTTAGTTGCAGCAATGTATTTATCAGAAGATGTGCTGGCTATTAGCTTGGCTGGCTTCAAAAAGGACTGGACCTCATAATGGAAATAACGGGGATCAATGCTATCAGCCTGTGGTGATAGCATGAATGCCTCTGAAGGCCGTCTCTTGGAAGATTAGTGGACTTTCTTGTGCAATTGGTTAACTATTGTAAGAACAGACTGCTGAACTAGGCCAGGGTTAGGCCAGGGTCTGATGCAGCAGGACACTGCTTATATTCTTATGTTCGTAATACTATCTTAAATTATTTGAATTCAACTTTTCCTGATATCTTTCCTGGTTTTTTTTTAGGATTCCACAAGAAATATACTACAAAATGAATGATCTTGCTATCAAAAGAATAACAAATGTAATTATCAAATCACCTGAAGATAAACGAGAATATCGTGGATTAGAACTGGCAAATGGCATCAAAGCAGTGCTTATCAGTGATCCCACTACAGACAAATCTTCAGCTACACTTGATGTACACATAGGTATTTAATCAAATACTTTGGTTTGGTTTTGGTTTTATAGTGTATGATAACACAGGGTTACAAAATCATTTACTTACATAACTTAAGTAGAGTTGTAAATTTGCTTGGAAATTTTACTAACATTATTCCCAAGAATCAGTAGTTCAAATTAGAATTTATTTAATCAGATTTGTATGTTTACTTGGCACAACTGAAGATTTTCATGTTATTTTATAAACTTACAGATAGCAAAGGACCAGTAAGAAATTATATAAAAAATAAATAATCATAGGTTACAAGAAATAAAAAAGCAAGCAAGAAGAAAGTAAAATGGTAATAATAATAGAAATGGTAATGTAATAGTAGTAGTAGATTCAGCATCTTCTAATAGTGTTTACTATGGTATAGAATTTTGCTTATATTTTTCAAAAAGCTTGCACAGAATAAAGTAATCTCACTAAGCTAACAGCAACTTTTCTAAATATTTTTCTTTTATTTTTATGTAAAATAAAGTCTTGATTGACTCTCATGAAGTTTATTTAACATATCTTTTTTCTTTGCAGTTTCATATGCTTGCATTATACCTTCTCCTTTGATTTCTTAATAGTATACAGGGCTTTTTTTCAGCCGGAACGCGGCGGAACCGCGTTCCGGCACCTTTTTCCGGGCCGGCCGCACCGGAAATAGCCCCTCCCAAATTTTACTTGCATCCTGTTCTCTAAAGGGGCGGTCCTAGGGTTTGATGAGGGCGTGGCCAGGTTTGAGTTCCGCCACCTTTTCTCCGAGAAAAAAAGCCCTGATAGTATATATTACTATAACTTCAATGGAGATTTACCTGGAAGAATAGCCTGAAGAAATTGTATATATTCTAGTATGACTTAGCTACAGAGTAAATAAATCTACTTAATTGATTTCATATGTTGATCTTTTCTGAAGTAAATAAAGTTTCCTATACCGCATTGATTTAATTACAACTATCCCGTTTTAAAAAATTAATCTATTTGTAGAAGTTGGGCATGTTTTAATAAAACTTTAAAATTTATAATGGCTTGTTATATTTTTTTTTCTCTCCACAAGGATCATTATCTGATCCCATTAATATTCCTGGATTAAGCCATTTTTGTGAACATATGCTATTTTTGGGAACTAAAAAATTCCCAAAAGAAAATGAGTACAGCCAATTTCTCAGTGAACATGGAGGGAGTTCAAATGCTTTTACCAGTGGAGAACACACCAACTACTATTTTGATGTCTCACACGAACACTTAGAAGGTGCTCTTGACAGGTAAGCATATCATAATTATTCGGTAAATATATTGTTAACCATTGTGTGATTTTTACTGGGAATAAAAGTTCTACCTAATGTACTCTGTACTTCCAGCATAATCTTTATTAGACCAGTCGAAATTTTAAGTGAATATCATTATAATTCCTTTTCTTGCAACCTGAAAAATATTGAATTTTGCAAATGAGGGAAAATATATGTATCCCAGGATAATGTTGCAAGATCCAATCTGAGTTGATCACTGGGACCAAAGGTATATTCTTCCAAGCTTTCAGATTTGTGCTGAAGCTCATCCTCATGAGGATGGGAGAATGGGCTCCAGCACAAGTCCTAAAGCTTGGAAGAATAAACTTTTGGCCCCAGTGACTGACTCAGATCGGATCCTACAATATTGAAGTAAGTGTTACTACAAGACGCTCTCATATGGAAGGAGGAAGACATTTTACTCAAGATTCTGTTCTATTCACTAGGCAACCCTGTCCAGTTTAATTTTTTATTGACTTTTGCTAAATAAAAAAACCAATCCCAAATATTCCCAACTTTGCTAATATATATATTTAAAAGTTGCTTTCTGGTTTTTCAACTGGCCAGGTTTTATGCATCTCCTAATAGGATAGAAGCCACTTTGACTCTTACAACTGGGATTTACGTTTTCAAATCTGAAAACTTAGAAACATTTGCTGTTTCTCCTTCATAGTAAGCTTTGGGAAAATATTGATATGAAGCTAATCTGTATTTGCTAAATTCAACTTTGTATGTCTGAAATCTATCATTACATTTAACCAGGGAAACTAGTACAGAATGTATTAATCTATAATCTGCTTCATCCTTTTTGCTTTCTTTATCATAGAGAATTTTTTTTAAACTTCACAATTTGTACAAATTCAGTTAATCTAATAAAGGGATAGCTTCTATGGAGTTTGGATTATTTCTGCTTTTCTGAAGTAATTCTGCAATAATTTAAAATTATATTCAAAATGTTAACAGTCTTTTTCCAGTTATTTAATATTCATATTTTGTACATTAAATAACTGGAAAAAGTCTGTTGATATTTTGGATATAATAGTAAAATGTTATATAAGTCCCTTGTTTGATATATAAAAATAGTTTTCCAGGAAGAAGAAACTCAGCAGTGCTTTAATATGTAAGACGATATCTGGGTTTAAATTTCCTTACTGCTTTATATAGCCATGAACTTATTTCTGGTAGTCCTTGCTTAATGACCATTTGTTCAGTGACTGTTTGAAGTTACAATGGTGACTGTTTGAAGTTACAGTGGTGCTGAATGAAGGCACTTACAGCCGATATCCTTGGAAGTTCCAGCTGTCACAGCATCTCTGTGGTCATGAGAGCAAAATTTGGGCCCACCCATATTTTTGACACATTCCTGTCTCCACTGGGTTTGCATGAGGAAGGTGCTGTGGAAATGTCCCAAAGGTTGTCAGATGACAGCTACAGGTGGATGGGAGTGTGCTGCATCTGCCAGGACCTCCTTTTGTGTGCCAGCCAGGTCCTTTTTTGCACATGGGCTGGGTCCTCCTTTTGTGCACTGGCCAGGACCTTCTTTTGTGAAAGAGGGACCTCGCTGGTACACAAAAGGACTGGCTTTTCATGGTGGCACAGCTGGGGCCATCTTTCACACAGGCCCTTTTTTGTATGCCACCCAGATTCTTTTCATTAAATATATGCTGGAATGCTCCGTGTGGGTTACAAATTGCCCATCCATTCTAACCTAACTTAAATTTTTAAATTGATAATAATTTGTGCTCCGTAAAGTGAATTACAATGGAACAATTACTTGGGAGTCATTCTGTGATTTTCAGCTGCAGTGGTCCAAATGAGTAAATTAATAGAGACACAAGCAGAGGTAAAGATCAAGGATGAATGAAAGTTATCTATCCTGAACTAAAAACCAAAGTCATGTTGTATACTCCCATACTTGTTATTTTAAACTTTAAAAATGTTATTGTATTTCAGTACATTAATCTGGAAAATATGGGACTTCCTTTGTATAGGTTTGCCCAATTTTTCTTGTGCCCTCTCTTTGATGAAAGCTGCAAAGATAGAGAAGTGAATGCTGTTGATTCTGAGCATGAGAAGAATTTAATGAACGATTCATGGAGACTATTTCAACTAGAAAAGGCTACTGGAAATCCTAATCATCCATTTAGCAAATTTGGGACAGGTAATTAAGAAAGCAATTTTTACATTATTTGGTCTCTTACACCATGAGGATATGATTCCTCATCTTTCTAAGCATTCAGTTATCATGCAAATAAAGATATATGGCATAGGTTGTGGAATCTTATTGATGTTGCAGCCTTTAGAATTATGGTAATTAAATTTCCTTGATTCAGCATAGAGCTGGAAGGGACCTTGGAGGTCTTCTAGTCCAACCCCCTGCTCAAGCAGGAGACCCTATAACATTTCAGACAAATGGCTGTCCAGTCTTTTCTTAAAAACCTCCAGTGATGAAGCACCCACAACTTCTGAAAGCAAGCTGTTCCACTGGTATATTGTTTTCATGGTTAGGAAGTTTCTCCTTAATTCCAGGTTGCTTCTCTCCTTGATTAGTTTCCATCCATTGTTTCTTGTTTTGCCTTCTGGTGCTGGAAAATAAATTGACTGCTTCTTTGTAGCAGTCTCTCAAATACTGGAATATTGCTATTATATGACCCCTTGTCCTTCTTTTTGTTAGACTAGCCATATCCAATTCCTGCAACCATTCTTCATATGTTTCAGTCTCCAGGCCTTTAATCATTTTAGTTGCTCTTCTCTGCATTTTTTCCAAAGTCTCAACATCTTTTTTGTAATTTGGTGATGCAAAACTGGATGCAGTATTCCAGGCATAGTCTTACT